TGTCGTCGGGAGACAGACTACCTGTCTACAACCAAGTACTGGGTGAATTATAAAGAAACTAAGTAAGTGTCACGCCGCATTACTCTGTTATTGTCCGATGTCACTCCTGTGTTGTGTGTGTGTGGTGTGTGTGTGTGTGTGTGTGTGTGTGTGTGTGTGTGGTGTGTGTATATAATATATTTATATATGTTAAGTCTAGTTTGGTTCATACTCTCATCATTAATGGACGTCTCTTTAAAATGACCGCTCAGAGGAGAGGAGTTCTCATTTCTCTAACCGCCTGCTGCTTCCCCTCCTCTCTCCTCGGTTACCCTCCTCAGTCCTCAGCCCTCCGCTTGCATCTCCTGTGGGCGGCACTAAGTCTCGAGGATAGGAGTCGAGGAAAGGAGTCGAGGAGGGGAAATTAGAGTATTGAGAAACCTCTACTGTGTCACATCGTAAACCTCAAACACATTTAAAATCCTTCCTGTGTATTATAGCCATGTTTCAGGATCAGCCTGTAAACCAAGTGTGTGAGGATGGAATGAATAGACAATAAAATGAAGCACTTACGAAGTGGCCTTCCTCCCCCAGGAATCCCGGATGACCCCTCAGCCCCGGCTCGCCCTGTTTATAACAACATGGAGAGGCATTTAGAATAAAATATAAAGCAGAATAGATCAACGCATCTGGATAAATAAATACAAATCTTCCCCCAGAAGTGATGGGGAAAAGGACCTTGAAATTTACTTTGAAGTGAATTAAATGAGATTAACCACAATCATATCTCTCTCTATCCTTCATTTAAGTTAGGTGTATTATTAGTAATCTGTTATATTTCAATTGATGTAGAAAAAAAAAGTTAATTACAAACCTAATAATGATACCTGTGTGCATTTGTTTGACATTGAAATAGTATTTGGAATATACTATATATATTGTTATTACACTGTAAATTGAGCATCTTAATGAAAAAAGAGATTTTTAAGTTTAAAGGTGTGTGTGTTTCAGTCACCTTTGACCCCAGGGTGCCGCGAGAACCACGGATGCCTTCGTATCCCGAACATTTGCACATGACGTTGCAGCACTTCCTGTCCGACACCGTGTCCTGCAGAGACACAGAGGAGGAAACAGTGAAAAGAACATTTCATTTAAAGACCCTCATCAAACCAAAATGACCCCCTCGCATTCGTGTGACTCCAGCCACCGGTGAAGTTGAAGTTTAACTCCATGTCCGTCCAAGTTGTTGTTACCTCATCATTTAAACATTACTGTCATAATTAGTGCATGAATTCCTGATTCCCTTTGAACATTGACCACTAAATGCTAATGAGTTCATCCTTGAATCCAAGTGGAGGTTGAAGAAATTTGAAGAGATTTCCTCCAGACGTTCTCAGAATTTACGGAAATGGGACAGAACACCTAAAAGATATAATGCATGCATAAAAATAAACCGTCAGGTATGTTCTCTGTATTTCTTTGTTTGTTTTTTCCAAAATAGTTGTTGATCTCAATAAGATAACCTGATTTTAACAGAAAGTTATATTTTATTTTATATATATATTGGATATATATATATATAAAGGAGGTTTTAGTAAAAAGTACAGTAGTTACGACATTACTTTTAAAGTACAAATATATGAGTAAATGTACTTTCCACCACTGCAATATGTCAAATTACATTAGGAGAACCCCAAGGCTACATCCTAGGTCATCTTCTCTTTCATAAATGGTTACGTCCCGTGGTGTGGTGTTACGTTATATTTTGTTACTTCCCTTCTCCCCTAGATAATAAGGGAACGTAACCTATACAAATTTGAACATACACATGGCAACGTCCTCAATGAAGGAACTTTTGAGTAACACCTGTAGAATTGTTGGAAAGTGATCAGGGAGGAAATGATGGCAGACACTTCACCCTAACTTCCAGTGTGGCTTGAAAGCAAAATGTTTACTTTATAATTCTTCGGGACGTAGCTCCTGTAAGCAGACCGAGGGTCGGAAGATGGTTTTACTGTTAGCAGCACAATGAGGGACTCACGATCTGTTTGAGGATGGTTCTGCCCACGCTCGGCATTCCGATGCTCAGAGGTAGTTTGTGCTCGAGCCCTCTTCCGAACTCCACCATCTGCAGCTGGGCGGGGTCCTGGGTCCCCTCCAGGGCCACGGTGAGCAGAGCGCTGACCCCTGCATGCAAAAAACAAAACCACAGTTTGTAAGTTTAGTGGGTTTAGGCCCTTAGGACATACCACAGACCGAGAGCGCAAGATATTGAAGCAAACAAGAGGCGGGCTTCACTTATTACCTACTTTTTTCCTGGTGTTTTCTGCAGGTGGGTGTGGTAGTTTGAAATGACAGGTGTCAAACTGCCATGAACTACATAATTCAAGGCATCCCATCATTGCGATACTAATCGGAGGGACATACACATTTCCTTTTTCCTGTATTTAGTAAACCCCAAATATGTTTGTTTTTCAAAGGAGCAAGTTCAACTATTTCATGTTTATGGGTCACAATTTCTATATTGAATTAATTACTTTATACTACAATAGAATCAAAGATAATTGAAATCAACCGTTCGCCAAAATCAAGACACGTTCAATTAACAGCCTCTTTTAACGAGTAAAGGTGAGAGGGCAAGAAAGACGAAAGAACAAAGAAGGATAGAAGTGAAGAAAAAGCTGAATAAAATACAGAAAAACTAAAGAGCAAAGGAGAAAAATCAAGTGTTGGCAGAGTTTTAGAATGACTCAAATAACCACATTATAAAGAGGAGAATTAAAGACGTACCAGACTGACGCAGCAGCTCTGCTTCATGCTGCAGTGTCCTCACGTCTTCATCGAGTCCGTCTGAGAAGATCACCAGCACCTGATGGACGAGGTTCGATGTTAATACAATATTTAATGTGAGCGCACCTTAAGAAGCACCTCATCCTGTTTGGTCAGCAAATTAATATAATCATACTATACTATAAAAACCTTAACATTTGACTTATTTTTTACCTCCGTTCACTTCTTATTAAGCATTAGCGTCATTAGGTCAAAAACGTCCCTAATTAGACCCTCCAGAAAAACGCGATTCTGCGATCGCAGAATTTACCGCATAATCAGCAAAATGGCGCAGATTTTTAAAAGGCCGCATAATCCCCGCATTTTTCCACACAAAGTTGAGAAAAAAAAAAGTTGACTCGTCTTGACGTGACGTCATCAGCTCGCGCATCACAGAATGTAAACAACACTGTATAGAGGGAACGTGTGGAGCTCACAAGATAGAGAAAACACCAAGATGAAAAAATCTAATCCATCTCATTTACCGATGAACATTTCTACTAAAGACCGGGCAACAAGTGGGGGGAAACTATTCTGCACCCCGTGCAACTGTGTGTTGGAGCATAAGAGAAAATCGACGGTGACGACCCACTTTGATTTCTTTCAAACTTCCGAAATGCTTTCTGCTGCTGCGGACAGAAAGCCATTTTCAACTCACGTATCACCGAGGGATCAACTCCCAAAACCCTTTCGGAGGGCTACAGAAACGGAAGTGAGTAGCTACACGATTGAAGCCTGCAGATAACGACGAGTTAAATGAAAACAGAATGAGGCGGAGAAGTGTGTGATGTGGGGGGGGGGGGGGTGTGTGGAGAGATTAAATAGCCCAAAATTTCTTTTACAATAATATAACAATTGAATGTGTTTAATTGAATAGTAAAGGGGTTTAACGTTAGGTGGCAGGTGTGGTGTAAAGAGAGAATAAATAAGACAGCCAATATTTAAAAAAATCGTACCTCCCCCCTTCTCTTTTATT